TCCGGTTGTCTTTGGGTTGGGATGAGAGCCACTGTTGCTCTTCCGGCTGATGGTAACTGATATTCGTGGGCGACGTCGTCGGCGAGAACGGCTGTCCACTACTGGTGGGCGGCTTTTGAGCGCCGGTGGATGAGAGGGGACTCTTCGGTCGGTAAGGATTGGGCGATGAATTGAATTCTCGGTATTCGTACACTTCGGAGGAATAGTTAGATATGAAGTATAAGTATTGGTATGATATGTGGGGAAAGGGATGGCAGAGACTATCACTCACTTTCTCGCTCTTTGACGTAAATGTGTTGGTTTAGAGGCGATGTGGGACTGGTAGGCAACGTGTGTTCGACACTATTAGCGGTATAGTAGGCCGACTCCCGGCTATCTGTCATTCGGTTGAGCACCTGTTCCGTCAATGACTTAGCGCCAGCACCCGTCACATACCCGCCCCATGTATTCTGAGGTCTGTCAACCATTTGTTGAGGGCTGGCCTCCTGGAGCTCATCTGGATTTGCATTCCTTGCGGAATATAATGAATAATTTAATTGTAATAATTATTCACATTTTGGTTGTGTTTGGCATTTATTTTTCATATCACTTTTATGTGCTTTTATATGCATGTCATTTGTAATAGTTTATAATGTTTAATAGTTTAAGTAAAAGTTTTAATAAATCAAAAGCACTTTTAAGGGCTATTATTAAACTTTTGTATACAGCGCTGTTTGTACCCGGGTACTTTTAAGTCCTTTTATACACACTCTTATATTATAATTCTTTAATATACACTCATTATTAGCTCTTTTTGTGCACATTTTACAAACTCTTATACCGTTATTAAACTTAAAACTAGCCTTAAAACTATACAAGTATATATTTGACCTTTTCATATAATCCATATAATTTAATTTAATTTAATATTACAGTTTCTATTCTAAATATCTAATTGAAAAAAATAATGTTTAATTTATACACTTATTTAAATATACTGTAATTTGTTCAAAAATAAACTGAAGTTTATTAATTTTATTGATTACTGTAAATTATAAGACAATTATAAAATATTTTAAAGTTTTATTATAAATAATTATGTATAGAATTTTTATATTACTGTTATGATAATTATAATGTATTTCATGACTACTGGTATTTTTTAAAATCTTTTCAACTGACATTAGAAATAGAAATCCATGACATTATTCCCTAATTTTTGTCACTCTTTATAACCCCTTTATAAACAAACATTGGTTTTAAAACAGAAATGTTTTCCACTATTTCTGTGNTTATAATGTATTTCATGACTACTGGTATTTTTTAAAATCTTTTCAACTGACATTAGAAATAGAAATCCATGACATTATTCCCTAATTTTTGTCACTCTTTATAACCCCTTTATAAACAAACATTGGTTTTAAAACAGAAATGTTTTCCACTATTTCTGTGATTGCATTAAAAAACAAATAAAAAATTAAAATCCTCATAAATCTTATACTTTATTAAGTTATGAAAAGTGCGCTAAAATTGTATTTATATTCAATTCTGTTTACTATATAATAAACATATAAAAAATGTTTTCACTATATAAATATATAT